ACAACACCACACAACAACACACACACACACACACACACACACACACACACACACACACTATCTTTTCTCAGCCGCGGCCCACTAACCCACTCACGTGTGTGTGCTCAGGCTGAGCTCCGCAGTGTCTCGCAGACCCCACGCAGCAACCAGGAAACGACACCAGTAACCCAGCTCACACTGTCTCCTCTCCTCGAGCCTCAAAGGGCGGAGCAGCGAGCCCCCCAACGTCCCCTCAACACGGCACCCAGACCCCACGCAGCATTCTCATCTGTTTGTCATTACTGGTTGCTAACAAACGCCATGGTAACACATAATCACTGATGTTCCGCTGTAACGGTGGTGGACTCATCAGAACAGAGTGGGCGAGCTGACCAATCAGAGCACAGTGGGCTCACAGGGAGGGGGAGGCAGGAGCTCCAACAAGCCATGTAGGACAGAGAGTGAATACACATACTATACAGAGATGCTGTATGAGAAACCAATGTGATTTTGGAACATTGAACAATGTAAATCTATTCTAGTAGACCTCAACATTGGAATTATGATCAGTAGAAATGGCCATCATGTCATGGGACCTTTAAAGTTATGTTGCGTTTGGTTTCTTTGTGGTTGCTGTATGTTTCTGGTCTAGTGCCATTTTGTAGGGGGGGCGGTTTTGTGTCTCTTTGGGGTGGTTTCGCCTCTTTTTGTAGTTGCTTTGTGTGTGAGTCCCGTAGTGATGTTGTTGTGTCTCTTTGTGTTTTCCTGTTTGTTTTGTACTTGTTTGTATCTCTTCCAGATGCATTGTATCTCTCTCTGTACCTGGTGGTTTATTGTAATACCTAGTAATCTCCACGACACAAATACATATGTTTGCATACAGATATAACCTTTGGAAGTTAAAGAAAGTAAGCTATTCTTATTTATATGTAGTCAACACACTCAAGGAGTCAATAACAGGAAATTATGTAAGTTACGTAACATCTGTGACTACTTAAGACTGTCTCAAAGTAATAGATTCTGGTTTTGGTAGCATTTAAATCACTTTGTGGAGGGTTTGCCTCTTATTTGTTGGTGTTTGGTGTGTCTGTAGTCGTTATGCATCTCTTTGGGGGATTGTTTATCTTTGTGTGTGGACATTTTTTGTCCATTAGCAGTCTTTTTTGTCTATTTTTTTGTGTTTAGCCAATCAAAGGACTTTCTCAAACTGTGTCTTTCTAAAGTCATCCAGAATTAGCACCCATTTGCTGAAACACTGAGAGCAGCTGAACTGATGTTATGTCTAGCACAGTAGGCTGTTAGAACAATGTGTAAATAGTTTTTGCAATTTGGGATTTCAGGCATGTGAATCACTTCCTGGAGTCGATGAAAACAGATCCAAGCATAACTTTTCCATGACATTGCATCATAATTGCACCAACAACATAAGCATTTAGCAACATTTCCTCACCTATCAGGGGTCTCAGGTCCTCCACCACGTCCTTCCTCTCCACCTTGGTCAGGACGGACAGCAGCTTCCCCACGGAGGCCTCTGAGCTCCGGGCCTGCCAGTTCTCCAGGACCGACTCAGCAGGACTTCTGGCCGCCTCATGGTTCTTTATCTCCAGGTAAGTGAAGCCCATGGCCTCCGCTACAGCGGTCCAGTCCGCAGCCACCGTGTTCTTCGGGTTCAGATACAGACCCAGCTTCTTCCTCAGCGTTACATTCAGGGCGACCAGAGGAATGCTCCATAAGTTCACCTCCGAGTCCACGCACGCCATGTTTTGGGAAGTTTGTGGATCGTTTTTAAACACTAATAAAAGACATTGTGGCGAAAGACTGACTACCTGATAACAGAACGAGGAAGTGATGCGAACACTGCGTCACAGCGGGGAGGAGATCCACTGTTCACACACAGTCACACACACACTCTAAAAAGTACATTACAATTATTTAACTGTCTCAAACACTTGTTAACATGGCTTTTCAACCTGCAATACCCCCTTTTATTAGTCATTAATTGTATTCAATGTTTATTTATTTTGCTTATATTTTGTAATTACTTATTTCTTACTTTAACTGATGGATTTCTTTAATTGTATTCATTCTGTTGCCTATTTTGCCTTCCCCTACATTTACTCAAGTAGCCCAACTGTACTTTAGTCAATATTTAAAATACTCAGACTTTACTTGAGTATTTTCCTTCTGTGCCACTTTTATACTCTTACACAATAATTCAAAAGAACAATATTATGTACGTTTTACTCCACTAAATTTACAATAAAGATTTTGTTACTTATATTTTTACAAACACAACGTATGAAGACTTGAATTAAATGTCATACTTTCTGTAAGTCTTGTGTTATGTATGTTAAAGCACCTTTAGTTGCGTGCCGGCTAACAAACAACTAACCCCATAAAGCATTGCATTACAAATATTTTATTAAAACTCAACAAGATGTCAACATTGTTTTTTATTTCCATTGCATAACAAAATCACAACAGAAAAAACAACTACATTTTGCAATTTTATTGTGTAACAGAAATCAAAAGGCAACTTTAAAAAAAACACACATGTAGAAATCGCAGTAAAATCATCATCTGACTGACTGCAGGAAAACCACAGAGTTGCTTTCACTATGACTGCAGTCCAACAGGAAGCGCAGCCATAAAAGCGGTTCGTGGTCCGATATATGTGTAGATAAGACACGTATGTGCACTCAAACATAAGTAGGAACTTAAACTTCCTAAAACCCTCATCTGAAAACTTTTCGAGCAACATCCCAGGACGGAACGCAGATTTTTCGAGCAACAGTCCAAGTTTGCATCACTGGAGTTTCCCTCCTGTGTTCACCGTGAGGGCGTCACAGGTTTTTGCTTTTGGAGAAATAGAAATCGATGCCTCTGTCACGGTGTTGTTTGGGAGTGTGAGACGGGCCCTTCTTTCCTCTGGCTGAAGGCCCCGCGCCACTCTGCAAATAATAGGAATAAAACATGTAGAGTGATGGTTTCAAAGAAGGCAGTGATGCAACATTTCCTCAAACTCTATCAGAGTGAAAATCATGCATTGGAAATCCTACCAATTAAAAACGAAGAAGTAATAAAAGTACCTAAAGTATCGAAAGTAAAAGTACATTTTAGAATGTTAGAAATGTATAGTACACGTCCCACGCACATAGAAAGGGCCGGACGCTAACTTCCATATGTTGGACAACGTGCACATTAACATAAGTTACGTTAACTAGCATCAATTAGCATTATAGCCTACAAAAAATGGCTTGATATTTGGGAAATATTGGCGTGATTTTGGGGGTCATTTAAGAGATGCTGAATGCATATCTCATATGTTCAGTTTCTAAAATGACAGTTAGAACCAGAGAGTAGCCATATTCTTCCTCCCTGTGGTCCGATGGATTTTGAGTTGATTTTGACGTTTTAAAGGACGCTAGATATAGAAGTAAATGCAGTATATCCCTCTGACAAAGACAAACAAGTACCAGTGTAAATGTACTTTCTCACATTGTTGTTTTCCCTCCATCAGTTATAAAAAGCTTTACAGCAGTTCCTCCTCCTCTCACTATCCACTTCCCTTTTTCTCTAAAAACCCACCGGTTTCTTGTTGGCGTGTCGGCTCCATTCAGGCGCCATGACGATGGGGGTGGGGTAGGTCTCTCCGAGGCAGACGTTAGCGTGTGACAGCGAGGCGGTGCTGAGGGTCCAGGGTGTGTGCACGTCACTTCCCATGATGCCCTGCAGCTCAGGAACCCACTGCCGCACATAGTCACCCTGAATGTAAAAAACACTCCATCAGTGGCTGAAAACAACTTTCCTCACTTAGTTATGGAAAACAGAACCAACAATTCATGCATTTTTTAGGCTGCTACGGACAGTCTCACACTAATGTACATTCTCAAAGATATTGAAGTGACTGTTATTTTGTATATATTGATTGTTGTGCTTCTATTTAGGTCTTAATGTGTGCATATGTATAAATGTGTCTTTTGATTGTGTATATATATATATATAGATTTGCATACATATTTTTATATATATTTGTTTTTGTATTCGGGATTGTGGGAAACGGTATTTCGATCTCTCCGTCTGTCGAGCAAACTGAAAGATTGATAATCAAGTTGACTTTGATCTTCTCAAACACACATTGTTGTCGTAGTCCAGGCCCTGCTTGATCATGTTGAACTTCCTGTTCTCTCGGGGGTCGTTTCCGATGCCCGCGCTGTAAAGCCAGTTACCATAGTTACTGCAGACATCATGGTCAATCTGTGGAGGGACATTTAAAAGTATTATTACAAATATTATCATCTATGCATTACTTACAAACAACTAGTTATTCCACAACATATCAATAAATCTATCACCTTATAATTGATATCCTAAAAATACCACACTGATTTAATAATACTTTTATTTCGTATAGCACCTTTCACAGAAATAGAATTCACAAAGTGCTTCACAAGAAAGAACAAAAGTTCAAATTGAGACCACAGAAAAAACATGAGGCAGAAATGTAAGGTCCACATAAAAACAAAACACAGACCACGTAGAGTCCCGAAAGGAACAAACATAAGAACACATCACAAACATCTCAAGTAGAAACAAAAAGCAATGTAAAAAGATATGTCTTCAGTTTTTAAAAGCCACTTACCAGCAAGTATTCAAACCACTCCGCTCCCATCCTCCAGTCCAAACACAGGTCCTTTGTGAGGAAGCTGGCAACATTCTGCCGCCCCCTGTTGGACATGAAGCCCGTCATGGCCAACTCTCTCATGTTCGCGTCCACAAAGGGAACTCCTGTGCGTCCCTCTGTAAGAACAGATGAAATGTATTTCACCTACTGATACATACGCTCTGAATGCATCGCTTTAATAGTGAGGGGGAAATGCCACAAACCTTTCCATGCATCGAAAAGCTTCTTGTCCTTTTTCCATGGAATTGATTTGTCTTGAAGTCCTGGAATACAATTCTCATGAGTTCAATATGCATTCACAGAGTATAAATGTAAAAAAAAAAAAGTGAGCTTTTTACCTTTGATCTGAAACAGTCTGTTCCCGTACTTGACGCCGACTAACTTGAAGTAATCTCTCCACAAAAGTTCAAAAATGACCCTGAAAGACAGCAGCGAGGACACCTTTGTAACCTTACTGCACCCTCTGATGGAATGGATTTGATTTCAACCTATCTGAGTGTGTGCTCACCAGTATGTGCTCTGATTGGCTGTCCGCTCCTTCTCATACTGCTGGATCTGATGGTAGATGTACCTGGGTGAAATGCAACCCAAGGCCAGCCTGCAGAATGCCACAGATGCACCGTTAGTGATATTTTTAATAGGAATGGAACATTATTCAGAAAAAACATGAGACAGAAACACTCACCATGATGAAAATTTAGTGGAATAATCCACACCTATCAGGCCGTTACGAGTCTCCTTGTAGGTTGCAACTGCGTTCTGCAAACCATATATTTATTACAGCTACAGTGCATAGTAGAAACTACATTAATATGTCTGGTTGCTGCGGAAGATGTACTCACAGTGTCCCAGAAATAGTGTTTAAGTCTGGCCAAAGCTTGACTTTCTCCTCCAGTGCAGGGGAAGGCTGAGCGGGGATCAGTCACAGGCTCTGGAAGAATAAAACAAGGGAAGCATCCCACTGATATTCAACACGTTAAACTCTCCCTCTGGTGCATTAAGACCAGCAGAATCGTAAAAAGCTTAATCATAGACATGAAAATTGAGCCACTCTAGCTGTTACTGAGGAGGCCTACGCTCAGCAGTCTGCCTTTTGAATTCTGTAAGTAGCTGCGTGTGGATTTACTTGATGGGGCTGAATGAAATGAGCAATATTTATTCCATTATTGCCAGCAGCATGCACAGACATTACCATAAACATCCATCTAATAAAAGCAAAATAATGTGACTTGGTGATACTCGTAGACATGTATTTTCTGTTTGATTCATGTAGTATGGAACATTATGTGCAATATAAATATCATTACCATCATTACAAAACACTCGCTGCTGCTATTATTATTATTAATAATGTGCTATGATGACGTGCATTTACGTATCTGCCACTACGTTTGGTTGCATTACTAAATACTGTTAATATTTACATGAATTAAGTGACCGTCTGTGTCCTGTAGATATTGAATTGCTCTTTTTGTAACTCTGCCACAACCATTTCCTTCGGGATAAATAAAGTTTTATCTCATGAATGAATCCATATACTTGTAGGAGCTGTTACCTGTTTGTTCCAGGTCTTCAGCTGTGGGGATGCCTCCTTCCTCCAGCCCCTGGGGGAGGGGCTTCAGCTGCTCAGGTGTTGGGATTAGGGGTCTCACTTGGCTCTGGCTCTCCACCGCCTTCCTGAACTGAGTGTACACATCAGGCAGCCTAAGAAATTATAAGATTGACAACACATTTTTAAAGGAGACATGTTAGGCTCATTGATTATGCCTTTTATACATATGTGCATGTTACATTGTTGGAGGAGCCTGCTTGAAAGAAAAGGAATTCTCACCTTTTTTTTTTTAAATGGGATTTTTTTTGTACACAGTTCCTAATCTACATCCCTAACAGGACGGTATGCCAACTTGGATGCTTTAACCGAAGCAAGCCATATCCTCTCACCTACACATCAGGCAGCCTAACCAAGTTTGCCACGATCAACAACAGGACATTGTTCTGGAGAGAGCCATATCCTCTCACCTGGACATGTTGTTAAATGGAAGATCGTCTCTGTGGTACAGTGTGGACCCCCAGCAGGTGTGAACTTTGACCTTCATCTGTGCACAGACATCCTTCACTCGTTTCTCCACATTCAGTTCCTCCGAACTCACCTGGAACACAACATGAGCACATGAAGGATGTCCAAATCACCACGAGGCAATAAAGATTACATTAAGAGAAACCAGTTAGAACTACCTCTTCATGGAAAGCCACGGTACTGACGGAGCCCAGTTGCTTTATGAGGTCCGCGACTACCTCCTCTGGTTTCCCCCGTCTCACCACCAGGTTGCTGTTACACACACACACACACACACACACACACACACACACACACACACACACACACACACACACACACACAAATATAAGCCACCATGCCAGGCAAGCTGCATCCTGATTAGAAATCGACTAACTTCCCGCTGGATGACCTGAGAAATGACAGGAACAGTGTGTGCAGCACCGTGTTAACATAAACACAGCCCTCTATAAGCTCAGCTGTGTCCTGTTTCAGCTGAATCCTAGAAAGCTGAGGACAAGGTCTGTACCGAGTATTTGTGTAACAACATCGTGATAATTACATTCATGAGTCTTGTAATTAGATTATAGGTCGTTACTGATATTACAAGGACACAGCTGAACTCTGGGGGGTCAGCAATTTAGATAGGCCATTGTATATGCACGTATGTTGTCAACAAACAGCTGTTTAGTTACCTGCCCTTGTGGAGCAGCGTGTGCCTGAGGTCCCTGATGCTGTCGAGTAGGAAGCGCAGGCGGAAAGGCCCAGTCTTTGGCAGGTTGTAGTTATACGTTCCCACATAATGTCTGGGGTCGAAGCAGTACAGCGGGACGATGTGATCTGCATTTCTTTGAGCCCAGTGGAAAAGCTGTAAGTAGAGAGTAAATAGTGTAGGTTAATATATCATCCTCTATTAGAAAAAGTGATAATTGCATGATTACAGCAAGCACATTTCAATTGATGTGTATACAAAAATGGCTGCTTTAAGTTAATTGTGAGAGGAAACTAAACCCTGCTAGCAAGTTTTGAAAACACCTTACCTGATATTTTATTTGAAGGACACTAAAAATAAGAAAAATAATTTTTCCTCTTCTATATTTGGGAAGGCGGTCTTTTATTTTTGAAATATGCCACCGGATGTAGTACAGTCTCCGGTACGTCTGTGGTTTTTGTATTGATAGCTAGACATACAATTACTGACTTATTAAAGGTGGATACAAAAGGAAGTTCGTGGAGAATATTCAGACATGTAATAAGCAACGTTTGTTCCTAATTCAAAACTTCTGGTCTTTTTATTTTGAAGAAGAGGCTTTTATTCTGAAGGAAGGCCGGAAGTTGCGTTGTTGTTGCTGCTGGCGAAACAAAATGTGCTTTCTGCTAACATAAAACATAGCCTACTACATAATATGTTTAATATGTGCTTTAAAGAAAGGATTTTTGACAAATATTGTGCAACAGATATGTTTACACGTTACTTTTAAGTTAAATAACATTAGGTTCTTTAAAGTTAAATGACGAATTTCATAATAAAAGACTCGGTACAGATTCAGACTCACCTCGTTGTCGTGCAGACGCAAGTCGTTTCTCAGTAAACATATGATTGTACGGGAGGTAGACATAGTTGTATATTATATATTAATGTAGCTAATAGTAGTATTAGACCCAGTAGTGCTCGGTATGAGAGAGCAGCTCCTCCCGGTGTGTTGGGGCTCCGTGTGACACGTATCCGTCACGTCGTTACAAAACGCCAGGTTTTATAAGCTGGTTGTTCAACAGCTTCTCAGGAATAAAAGAGGACAGTAAAGAAAACACCAACACATTTCCCCCTAATTTGTTGCTCTCACAACTGAATCATGCACCCTTTTTTACTCAAATAGCCTACATTAATAGATCTAGATTATGAGAAATACAATTAATTGCTTTCTGCATTTAAAGCTTATCTAATACATATTATTCATAGAGCCCTTTTTAGGTTACTTAATTAATAGAAAAAAATGAAAACAACACACTTTAATGCAGGACTTTTGCTTGTGGGTTCTGATTCTACCATATACTTTATTTTGTAACTGTATTTATCATACACACAGAGGGGAAAATAAGAAACACAAAACTAATGGAAATGCAATGGATTGCTTTAGATTGTGTAAATGTGGCCACTGAGTGTATAATCTTAATTCAACCCATTTACAACTCTTTGTGTGATAGTTGACCCTATGAAACTAAATTAAAGGTTTTTAAAGCATATTTCTCTCCCGTTGTCAGCTGTTGAGCTGCTGTCATGATTTAAACAAATTAGAAACAAAAAAGGATCAACAATTAGCTTTCGTAGGAGAAATCAAAACATAAAATGTTGCCTTGGTGTGTACGGTGCAAACATAAACACAGTTAAAGAAGATCAATTGTAAGAAAAGGAACAAAAAATAAAGCAATTATAATGAACTAGTTAAAAAAAATGATAACAGTAAAATATAGAGAAATATTTAAATGAAATATAGATTAAACGTATGAAAACTAGGTACAGTATAATATGACAAAAGCATATAGATAATGTTTTGCAAATATAGATATTAGCTCTGAGATTAAATGTATGTGTGAGATATATAAGTGCCTTCAAAACCAAACAACAGTACACAGGGAAGTAGTCTTAGACCTTGGATTTATTAAGTTAAATGTACAAAAGATCAATGACTTGATACATTTCATGTTTCAAGGCTTCGTCATCAAGACAAAACGAACTGTCCCAATCGAAAGCCTCCAGCCGTCTCACTGCCTACTGCCAGCTCTCAAAGAGACACTCCCGTCTAAATCACAGTACAACCTACTGTATAACGTAGCTATTTCATCAAATAGATTTGTATAGAATGTAAAGAAATTTCATACAAAAGTGCAGAACAATATGTATTTACAGTATAATCTTTTGTTCATATAAAAGAAGTTCAGCAAATCCTGTGTGTGCTCTCTTTTACTCACCTTATTAAAAACAAGCTCTCTGCTTTGGCAGTGAACATTAAGTGTTTACTAACAGATTCAGATAAGGCACTGACAAGGGTCGGAAAAAAAAGATTTGATCATTCTTTAAGTGCCACCGTATCACCACACCTCCATTTTAAAGATGACAGCATTTAGCTCTGGATTTCCAACTCGACCCGTTTTTGGCGGTATTATTGGAGAGTGAGGTGTCGCGTCAAGTGGTCGTTAAATCAAAGTAAAGGCATGGGGTGGATTCATACTGAACAAAAAACTTCAATTGAATTTATTTTCATACTGATACAATGTGATTTGGTCTGTGCAGACTACCGTGCACCAAGCTGCCGTAACATAGAAAAGGCGTATAGGGCTCTGAGGTGAGAAATCGATCCATAATGACTAATACTGAACATGAACATAGCCCAAAGTTTCTGACACTTTTTCTTTGGCTACTGTTTCTCCAATGGACTCAAGGCTCACTGCATGGGAAGCTGGAATGACTCCAACAGTACAGCTGGTATTGCTTATTAACTGATGCAAAAAGTTTGGTTCTTTTTTTTCTTGACACAACAATTCTCAATGATATAAAAAAAAAAATGCTTCAAATAGAAAAATATCTCCGTTGATTATCCTGCACGTTGGAAATGTTTCAATGCATGATATCAAAAGTGCACAATCCATTCTAAAAACGGGGGGGGGGGGGTTCTGAGTGCCGTGAAAAAAAGACATTCTTACTTACAAACTCTTATTGTAAGGCGTTGACAAAAATACATTGACATTTTTTCAGGTGACGATAGAAAACTTTGTATTGTATGTCATATAAAATATATTCTACCATCTGTACACACAGCTGATGAGTAACTCACAGCAGGGGTTCCCAACCTTTCCCCCTCACTCATCTGTGATCATCGCCTACATGTATTAAACCCTTTGTAATTGAATTCAACCCAACTGCTCATGAAATGAAAATCCCTTCTGTAACTCACCCCTTGACATTTAGAGTTATTTTAGCTGAAGAAATTATATTGAAACTCACTTCCCACTATCAGTCTTTTATTAAAACACTTATACCAGACTACCAGAAAATTGATATAAAAGTGTTTTTTGTGTGGGAATAAATCGCAATCCATAATCTTTCTACATATCCCCCTGTTCCCCCGGTTGGGAACCACTGGCTTCCACTGCTATCAGATGTGGTCGACATTACTGTCAGGCTGAACCTGGACATTGTTCTGCGGCAGTAAATGAGTAAAAATCCCCCAAAATCTTGAGGCGTCACTGCTCTTGGTCACGTTTCCTGCTCTTTCAGTCAGTAGCTTGTGAAGCCGCTAAGTGCTTTCTCGTTGTTCCCCTCTTAGGGCAACACTCGACGTCGACCTGGCCTCTTGGTGACGAACCAGGCTTCATCCACACTGAAAAAACTGAAATGCTTACTCTAAATAAATGTATTTTTTCAACAGATTCCACATAATTGTTTTAGGTTAGTTGAAAGCAATAATACAAATAATAATTTCTGCTCCGTAGTTTCAGTTTCTCCCGCTCTACAACAGCTACCTACATCTGTAATTGATATACTATCCTATGTATATACGTTTCTACTACTTCAATAAAGTGTCTATCTATCTATTATTATGTTGAACTTGATATTTTGTATTTAAACTTAATACTATTGCTTTCAACTAACCTAATACAGTTATGTGAAATCTGTTGACATAATACATTTAATTAAAGTCAACGTTTCAGTTTTTTCAGTCTAGTTGCTGAGGGATGCAGCGTTCCTGACAAGGCAGACACTGGTGATAGATTTCCGGGCAGGAAGTTGGAGGGGGAGGCCCGGAGAGGAGAGGAGGGGAGAGAAGGGGTGAGGGTCCTCAGAAACAGCCCTGAACGAACGGGTGGCTGAGCAGAACGTCCGCAGTCGGCCGCCACTTCTCCTCCACGAAGACCTGCCGCAGGAAGTCCCGTGACGCGTCCGACACCGAGTCGGGAAGGATGGGCTTCGTAGGCTGCGTGGCGATTTTAAAAATGGCCGCCATGGCCTCGTACTCGGCCCACGGAGGTTTCTGAGTCAACATCTCCACCACGGTGCAGGCAACACTCCTGAGGACAGAGAGCGTAAGATAAGATCAGATGGACCGTTATTAATCCCTGTGGGGGAATTCAGTAGTTTGACAGCAACAGGGTGAGAATGAAAAACAGGACATCACAGATTCACACAGATTAATACAATTAAGGATCAAATCAAAGATAAAAATAAGTAACTATAAAATAAGAAATTAATTGAAATTAGTTTTTTTCAAGTATTTTTTTATATTTTCAAATGTATTTACTCCCAAGGTATGGAGGTAGATTTGTCTCAATGTTTTTTGTGTATACAGATCAATAATCCGTGTGTAAATATGTAATCTGTAAATCTGAAGAACCAAAGAATGCAAAATTGTAAACTCACAAAAAAAGTATAAAAAAAGTCTGGAAACATATTTCACAAATACAAATAAAATCTATGAATAGTATAACTAAATTAAAAATATCTTTCTAACATCTACAACTTTCAATCAGGCATTATTTAATGAACACTCTTTGGTCCAATCAGGACTCCCAAGCCAAGTCCCTACAGACTGAGCTACTTATGCCACTTATATGTCATTTAAAGTCATATTTCACCCCAAAAAATGACTATTTGTATCCCAATAAGTGCATCAACAGTCCCATCTGATGTTCATTCCTTACCACACATCAGCTTTCCGGCCATATCCCTCCCCATTGATGACTTCGGGGCTCATCCAGTAGGGGGTGCCGGTGACGGACTTGATCCCTGTGCCTGACATGCAGATGGTCTGGATACGTTTGCTGGCTCCGAAGTCTCCCAGCTTCACGTTCCCTGTCGAGTCTCTCAGGATGTTAGCACCTGGAGGAACCAAACAAAATGAGCTCAGCATTATTCAGGGGTCTCGGGGGGGGGGCCGTCAATAACCTTTAAGGGTTTCTCTGACGGTTCAAATGATGAAGTTACAGTGCGGTTACAGAGTGCATGTGCCAGCACTTCAACGAAAAACCACGTAAAGGTAAACTTTTCCGACGGCCTGACACGTCGGCGCTGTTTGAACGCTTGCAGATGCACATAATTAGCACTTTGACTCGACTTCACAAACACTTTTCTCCCATGAGAGGAATGTCTTTTACTAAAATCAACAGTCTGCTCCATGTGGATCGGACCCAACACCCTCCTGCTTCACAAATGTTCCTCCATGTCTACCCCGTTTCCTTCAGGCTCTGTTTGATCAGTGACTAATGAACGCCACTCACTCTCCACACCCTCTGAGAGACTCAATACGTGACCTTAACTTCTTGAACCTGTTTCCACTGCCTTGTGACAATGTGAGACTCTCCTATCAATCACCTTTAAGGCTCCTTGGAACCTTACATCCATCATACTGCGATGCCAAGCTCTATTTGATCGTGCTGACAGCTCCTTTACTGCACAGTGGGGCTCTTGTGCGTTAGATGAGCACACACCGTATATTACACATGCATTTTAAGTGGAAAATCCCACCCACAGACTGTGTGCTGTCCTGTGCCCTGTGAGACATGCTATCTTTTCCCCAGTAGACGGTTATGTTTCCCTCTTCTTGGCCAAACTACAGCCTTTCCATCCGGTGTTGTACATTTTTAGACTGGCCGATTTTCACCAGCATGAAGCCCAATATATCTCAAAGGGGAGATCAAAATAGCACATACTTTCCAGAGCCGGTGAATAACCAAATGAAGGATATGTGAGAATGAATGAATGGAGCTTTTTTCCAGCCTGCGAAATGAGCCACGAAGTCACCTCCAGTGAGGACGTCCCCTGGTTTTTCTAATCCAATTGAACCGACCCTGACCTTCAGTAGCGAGCAGTCGGTGTTACCTTTGATGTCTCTGTGTACGATCATGTTGCTGTGCAGGTAGGACACTCCCTGGAGGATCTGCCGGGTGTATCTGCGGGTCACCTTCTCCGTCAGAGCCCCGTAGGCTTTCAGCTGGTCCTTTATCGAGCCCTGCGGAGACACAAAGACTGGAGTTTAGGAAAGGTTGAGGAAGTTGGTTGCGAATATTCCCCCTTGTTTTTTGACTGCCTTCTTCTCCCACATTTTACATCGCAGATACTCTGTTCCAACATCAAGACAGGCTGCTAAATAAGGACAATGCGTGCTATTACTCCGGACATTCATAACTTGAATTATTCTAGAAATATGAAACTATCATTCTTCAAAATCTAAGCCAGCATGTTCAGCTTTTCAGCACACACACCGCAATTTCTTCAGGAATTGCATTCTCTAGATTTATGACCTTAATGTTGGCTTCAGTGTCAACTTAAATTATTCTTACAGCTGTGGGGTATGAAAGTGTAGAAGGATGTGTTTGATACTTGCAAAAACAGTTCCAGCTGTAGCGGATTCATTTTGGTTTTATTGTGCAAGCAGCCTCAGAGCCAGTTTTCAAAGTATATAAACACACAATGTGCCGAGAGAAATCTGCTCGAGTCCAAACACCTTTCCGTGTCCTGCATTTCCTTTCATTTCCTGTCTCAGTTCCTCGTGAGGAAATGGCAGGACCTGATCCAGTGACACCTGTGACGCAGTTACGGACTCAACTAAAAACTGGACCCCTCCGGAGCTCTCAGAGGAACGAGCTTACTCTCTCTGGGCGATTAAAGTCTTATCGGTCGGCCGTGCAGAGCCACAGTCACACAAAAACTTGGCTTTGTCACCTTCCCTCTTCCCACTGCCATAAAAACTAACATAAACATTTCCAGTTTCCAGACAATGTGTGACTAAGACGCTCAACGCCACTCAGGGAAGAAAAACTAAAAATCGCCCAGGAAATATTAAAACCAGGCTCTGGGGCGACAGCAGCTCATTAAGGCGCTCGTTTAGACAGAAAATGATCTCATAAACTGCGCTGTGGTGCTGACATCAACCTCACAGGACATGTTTACTGACAGCTGGGGACATTTCAAAAATTGGTTTGAAGCAGATGTGGCTATTAAGGGGTTCGATTGGATGTTTGTTTGTGCCTATCTCTGCTGCCACTATATGACGAATCGTGGTGTCTAAATGATACCTCGTTGCCTGGCTGTTGGGGACCTATAAGAGCTGAGCAGTATTCAGATGATACGCAGAGTACTCACCCCGGGCATAAACTCCACAAAGATGGTGAGTTTCTTCTGCTCGAGGTCCCGGAGACAACCGTAGTACTGAACGATGCGGTCGTGGCGCAGGTTCTTCAGCAGCTGGATCTCACACTCCAGAGCGTTCACCTCCTGCAGAGAGGACATTCAATTAGGATGCTTTTAAAGGTCTCCTATTATACTGTGTTTCATCAATATATTACAGGTCTCAGATATATACACAGCATGTCTCTGATTGGCTGAAACACCAAACAGATCGTTGCAGCATTACCCATAATCCCCTCTGTTTCAGCCCTGTTTCCAAAGTGCTGATTCTCTGTCTGTTACTTTAGATGAAAATAAGGAGCCCCTCCCCACGCCCCTCTGAGAGACATTTGGTTACAAATAACTCAATGGTGCTCTAGGAGGAGATTCAGGTGATAAGGGGGGGGGGGGTTACCTTGGTTGCTGATTGGCTAATGGTTACACAAGACAAAACATCGTTATGACATCATAAAGTGCCCAAAATCTGATCAGCTCATTTTCAGACAGGTTTTTATAGAAATGGATCAAAAAGAGAGAAAATCTTTGTTCCTGAAACTTTCAGAGTGTCTTTCCACAGAGGGGACACATGTTGATGTAGAAGAGACATGAAGAAGAGGGGACACATGTTGATGTAGAAGAGACATGAAGAGAGCACATGTTGAGGGACACATGTTGATGTAGAAGAGACATGAAGAAGAGGGCGGCGCATGTTGAATGTAGAAGCAGACATGAAGCAAGAAGGGGAACACATGTTTCCGAATGTAGCAACACAGACATTGAAGATACGCCAGGGGACACATGCTGCCCGCCGCTGACGTGTAGACAGTCAGACATGACAGAGAGGGGCACAGCATGTTGATTAGACAGAGACATGAAGACAGCAGGGGACAGCATGTGACAGTAGAAGCAGGGGACACATGTTCGAAAGTAGATAGCACATGGAGAAAGTAGATTTGGCACAATAGTTGACAAACATGCAGACTCGGAGGGGCGGTCTCGTCTTAGCGCCTTCGCGTTTCCTGACAGTCGGCAGTCAAAGGCACCCTGCTTGGCGGCCAGCCTCGCGCCGCTGTCGGCGTCGTAGCAGAGGTAAACGCTCCCCGAACGCGCCCCTCCCAGAAGCTTTCCCTGACGCAAGTGAACTGGAGCCGCGGCGGCT